CTAAAATAAAGTATTATTGAATCATTTAGGTTGATATATTGGGATGACAACTTCTGTCTGTGGATGTTTCAGTTAGGAAGACGTTTTATTTCAGAGTGTTGCAGTTCTATATGTTTCCTTCACGATAACGATTCTGACACCGGAGCTTGCCTTTTGTTCGTTACCAGCTACCAAGTTGCTATCATTATTGTAATGCATAGCTCAGCTTAAACTCTTTGTAAACTATCAACAAACACATCTGTGATGCGTCTTCAAATACTTTATAAGGTTCATATGAAATGGGCAGCACTAGTACCACTGCTCGAAACTAAAGCCTGCATACTGTACGTGTTGCCTTTTAACTCATGGGACTTTCCAGTGTAAAATGTTGCCAGTGTAAATTGCTGACATTTTGCTAATGGTTAATGTTACACTAACCAGAACTCAGTTCTTTGCTGCTTTGAAACACTTGTTGCCAGTGGCTGTAAAATGCAACTTGCTGTTTAGGCTGCTGTTTTAGAGCAGTGAAGAAAAACTGATTCCTGGGAAAACTGCGGGTGTGAAACTGAAGTTTATTACTAAAGTTAGTGGTATCTGACTGGTGCATAGACTCGCATACTCGCCAATGCCAGATCCCATGGATGAATTACTGAACTGGCCTACCAGGCACAGGCCCAGGGGCCCTTAAAGTTTCAGGGCCCACTTAGTGTTGACATGTAAAAAGTTTCTGAAATTAACATGCATGAACTGACCAGGAGACTCAAAATTACAAGAAAGAGACCACCAGGACATATAAAATAACTACAAAGAGACAAAAAATGACTACAAAACTTGGCAAAACAACTACAAAGGAACACAAAATGACCTCAAAGAGACAAAAATAACTACAAAAATAGCAAAACAACTATAGAGAAACACAAAATGACCTCAAAGAGACACAAAATAACTACAAAAATTGGCAAACAACTACAGAGAGACATAAACTGACCTTGAAGAGACAAAATATAACTACAAAAACTGGCAAAACAACTACAAAGGAACACAAAATGACCTCAAAGAGACAAAAAATAACTACATAAATTGGCAAAAAACAACTACAGAGGGACACAAAATGACCTCAGAGAGACACAAAATAACCAGAGACACAAAATAACCACAAAAATGGGCAAAACAACTACAGAGACACCAAACGACGATGACACACAAAATGACCTAAAAGAGACACAAAATAAATCAAAAAATGGGCAAAATAACTACAAAGAAACACAAAATGATATCAAAGAGACAAAAAAAATAACTACAAAAAATGGGCAAAACAACTACAGAGAGACACAAAATAACTACAAAGAGACACAAAGTAACTACAAAGAAACACAAAATGATCTCAAAGAGACAAAAAAATAACTACAAAGAGATACAAAATAACTACAAAGAGATACAAAATAACTAGAAACCTTGGGAAAACAAACAGAGACACAAAACAACTACAGAGAGACACAAAATCACCAACATGACGACTACAAAGTCTATGTGTATTGCTCTAATGTAGGAGAGGTGGTGGGGCTTTTTTTTTGGCCCAGGGATCCATTGTCTCATAATCTGCCCATGCCTGATCCAACTAGGCAGTATCAGAGGCATTTCCAATACTACTGGTAACAGAATAACTCCACCTTTAGAAGCACTTAGATCAGAGACCTGCCTCTACCTGGCAATCACACAACATGCCTATCAGTGACTTCTGGGCTCAGTATCCTTTGCCTAGTCTCTTGTTGTATTCAAACTTCAGCATGGTGAGAGATGGCAATTCCCACTCTGTGGTCACTTGTACTTGCAACACAGGTGAAAAACTGAGCCTAGATCTCACTGATGTCATGGTGTGTGATTGACAGGTAGAGGCAGCTCTCTGATCTAAAACCAAATGCTGCTTAAATGAAAAAGTGGCGATTGGATCTCCAAGGAATTAAAATAAAATCTCTTTCAAATTGAAAGACGTTTTTATCGCAATACATCAGTTGTTAAATGATGCAATGATTAAAGATTAAATAAATTTAACTGATGATTAATAGTTTTAAATTAAAAGTTGAATTCCAGGGACATTATATTTTAATTTAAAAAGTGAATGTATCTAATTAATCACTATCAGCTTTTTAGTTAATTTTCCTAACATCTACACCTCATAGTTGTTCACCCTCTGGCGAGTAGAGATGAATATGCCGTAACAGTAAAATAGCTTCACGCTAAACACACTCTGCTGCAAATTGTTTGTTTTGAAAGATGCGAGGCAGACAACGCTTCTCCGTGGCCTCAAAACATCCGCCTGAGATAAAGACTGAGAAGAAGACTGGGAATCATATCTTCTTGATCGGTGCGGATCACTTACACGGTGAGGATCAGACCAAGACGGAGGAGAGATTAGCTGTATTGGCTGTCTCCCTGGGCGTTTTAGATAAGATTCTCACACAGGAGGCATGCCTCCATTCCTCATCTGCGATTTCATCTGCTCAGTCAGAGGGGGAAGCAGTATCAATGAGTGATCAGATAACAAACTACAGAGCACCACGGGCCTGTGAATTTGATCTCAGCAGCTGCTCCAGGATGGTTCTTTTTTATTGTCATTTGAAATACCAAAGCCACTTAGTGCAGGATCTTTGTGTGATTTAACTTCCAAATAATTCACAGCTCAGGTACAGCTAAAGAATGGACGGAGGCCATTCTAACATCCTGGCTCTGGAGATGTCAGTCTGTGGATTCAACACTTGAAGTCTCTCATTAAAGATACAAAATTCAGAGCGTATAACTTGTCTGAACGTGGTGGAAATGGACGTAACTAAGCCAGCAACTAGCAGCTAATGGTGCTGACTCCATAAACAGCGCTAGACAACAGCCACAGTGCTGACAGAGCTACAGTGTTAACCAGAGGGGAACTGGAGGGTTGGCGCTATGCTTCCGCAATGCCAGCATCCTTAAATCAGTGGTAAGCATTGCATGAGCATGGTGCAAAGTGGCGGTGATGAGCTAAAAAGGCTGATGAGGGCAGATGTGGCTCAGAGGTAGAGCGGGTCGTCCACTAATTGGAAGTTCGGTGGCTCAATCCCTGGCTCCTCTAGTACGCATGTTGAAGTATCCTTGGGCAAGATACTGAACCCCATATTGCTCCCAATGGCTGCTCCATGGGTGTGCGAGTGTGAGTGCGAGTGAATGGTGCTGGTGGCACTTTGTATGGTAGCCACGGCCAGTGTGTGAATGTGACGTAGTGTACAAGCACTTTGAGTGGTCAGAAGACGAGGAAGGCGCTATGCAAGTGCAGTCCATTTACCATTACAGTAAAGTGATGTATTTTTCTGATAGCTGTTCTACCCACTTATTTATCAAAAATCTCATTGAGTAAATATTTTGTGAAAGCACCAATTGTCACCCTACACTATCGCCGCAATTTTCTCCATATCGCCCAGCCCTACTTTGGTGATCCCCTGACTTTTCCTGAGGTTCACAACTTCGGAGGTCCTGTAACTTTTAATCTAGAGCAGTGGTGTCAAACCCATAAGTGTGACAAATGGGCGGGATCTGTGTTATATATATGTACAGTACAGGCCAAAAGTTTGGACACACCTTCTCATTCAATGCGTTTTCTTTATTTTCATGACTATTTACATTGTAGATTCTCACTGAAGGCATCAAAACTATGAATGAACACATGTGGAGTTATGTACTTAACAAAAAAAGGTGAAATAACTGAAAACATGTTTTATATTCTAGTTTCTTCAAAATAGCCACCCTTTGCTCTGATTACTGCTTTGCACACTCTTGGCATTCTCTCCATGAGCTTCAAGAGGTAGTCACCTGAAATGGTTTTCCAACAGTCTTGAAGGAGTTCCCAGAGGTGTTTAGCACTTGTTGGCCTCTTTGCCTTCACTCGTCTCGTCTCCATCTTGTTTGCAGCCATCTAGTGTGGGTCCAACCTTGAATGCAAACCCAACTAATTACTTCCACCCAACCTCTCCTCGCCTCGGCTCCAGCAAATCCCGTGCCTGACAAACACAGCAACAATATGAGTTCTCCCTCCTGTGAATGCCAAGTACCCAGAGCTGAATGGAAGCATTTATTACCCTTTTTAATTATCAAATAGCAGGATGTCTTTGTGAATGCCATTTCCCTGTAAACAACTTCTCCCTTCAAGGCAAAGTACAGAGTAATTAAACCCAAAGAAATGGTTAGGGCCTGTACAGGAGACGTTCGCTCCACAAACATAATGTGATCTCGCTGTTTTTGGCTGAACAGGTAAAAATCTGATGCGTAAAACTAAATGAGTCAGTGTGTGTTAGTGTTGTTTGTTCTTAAGAGGACCGCACTTCCCCTTGGGGAATGGATTAGTTGCCATATGATTACATGGCATAAACAGGTAAACAATATATCCGTTTTATTATTGCGGTATCAATTTGGAAAGTCTGACAAACAGCAGCAGTCGTGGAATACAAATCTCCATCCTACTATTTCACCTCTGGGCTCTGGGTTTTGGCTGTTTTCCAAGCTGAACTGTTTACTCAAAACGGACCTCTTCACCGACCCACACTCAATATTCAGCTCTCCCACACTGTCCCTTCTCCCTTCTCCGCTGCACAGACCAGCCTCATGTTTAGGCTCACCTCACCTTTGCCCATTTTATTTTTGGGAAACTTTCGCAGGCAGAAAAGTTGACCAAAGGCACCCACACAGGAGCAGGATACAGTGGGAAGAGAAGTCTGTTGGTACATTATTATTTTAGCAGAGAGGTAGAGGATATAAAATCATTATTATCTCCTGGAAGTGGTGTGTTATTCTGCTTGCAGCTTTTAAAAAACGCATGCTTTACTGTTTCCAGAATGGTGCTCAATCATCAAGCGCCCGTTACTTATCAACGCATACATTTTAATGCCTCATGAATGGTTCAGATAATTAGCTTCCGTGCTTGATATTTCGCTCCCAGCAGCAGTGCTGTTGTACCATTCATCTCACCCTCCCTCCTCTCCTCTTCTGCCCTCCAGGTGACCGGCACCATGGGCAGCATGAAGAGCGGCCTGCACCAGCACCTCGCCAGGCTGGACGAGATCTTCGCCACGCGGGGTGACTATGTGCAGACGCTGCAGTTCATGCAGCAGATGGCCGACAACGTGATCAAACAGCTGCTGGGCCTGCCTGACTGGGAGGAGGCTAAAGTGGACCTGGCGTCCATCGCTGATCAAACGGCAAACATCGAGTACTACAGGTGAGGAACACAAAAATTGGGCTTTAATGTGCTTCGGTCACTAAATTCAATGTCTTTATGGGACTGGCTTTTAATTTCTTTCACACAAAACTCTGGCTCAGCAAAGACGGGACTTACTATCCATTTTTTTAAAACCAGTATAAATATTACTTGCACTGAGAGGGAGAGAGACCGCCCTGTATCAAAATACAGGTAGCCTACCGTAAGGCCCAGACACACCAAACTGCTCTGGGTAGCCCTGCACTGACATGATCAACTTTTCCATATTTATCAGACTGAATATTTACAGAAGAAGGGAAAGATATCTGTCGGCTGTGATTGGTTTGTAACGTGACTCATGTCTGACTGCTGAGCGTGGCCACTTCCTGTGTCTGTCCTTTCAAATTAAATTCCCACATGGTCCAGTCACATAGGTTTTGATTTATTTTGACAAGGCGCAGCTCCTAACAGAGTTTCAGGTTTGTTTGTTTTTCTGCGACTAAGCGACCAATGAAATCTTGCCGACAAATGACTTTCATGGTCGGCTAACATTTGGTCCACTATTAGTGGGCAGCCCTTGTTTGTATGCATCATTAAACATGGGGAAACCAGAAGAGTGACAGATTCAAGACACTAGTTAGCCAGTTAGCACTTTAACAACATAACACGATGTTGAAGGGACAAAGAATATTTACCGTGCGCTAGCAAACAGTAGCTCAAACAAACCGTTTCTGCTGAAGAGCTCAATGACTCAAAACATAATCTTACCTAATATAACAAGTTTGATTCAATCTCCCACCCGTCTCTGACGTCAATTCAATGTGCTAAACCAGACGGAAAAAAAAGTGTCAAGGGCCTACCAGTGCAGGACACACCACAAAAACAAGGGTGACAGGCGCTCACCCACGACCTGACATTGACCAATGGTTGCCAATCGGCTTGGTATATTAGGACCCTTACGGACTGAAGGAATATGAATAACTTACAATGTAATCGAGGCATGGACACATAATTTGAGGCAGCAAACAACCCAGTCTTGAGACTTGACACTGGACAACATCAACTTTTTTTTAGTTTATTTATAGTTAATACAGAATAAGCTTATAATTTTGTTTTAGATTGCTACTGACTATGTTACAAAATTAAACCATGATGGAGATGGTTTTGCCTTTTCAAGGGCTTATATAGAAAATGGCACAGTTTTCCAGAGTTCATTGACCACAGGTGTACATCCAAGGTGGCATCATTCACAAGGGCCTGCTCTCTGCCCAACACACCGGGCCCCCCACCATACAGGCCGCACTGTCCAAACCATCCACACCCACGCCTTTGCCCTTAATCATCAATGGCAACCAGACCAGGCATCTAACTGAGACTTTCGTTTACTCGTCTAAACTTGTAACCACAACTGGACAAGTCAAAGGGACTCAGCGTTTAAGTGGGGCTCTGCTTTTGATTAAAGTTTCACAGTGTGTCTGGCTTGTCCAGTGCACCCTGGCCAGGAAGGAGCTCTATTTATTCACACTGCTGGTGATGCAACAGATGTTCAGGTTAAACTGGGAGAGAAAACCACAAAAATTGGAACACAACCAGAGCCGAGAGGACAAAATTCAGGAGGGTGATTTTCCTCCAAACTTGTTTACCATTTGATAAGTTGCCATGAATATTTTCAAGGGCAGTGCACCCGCAATTTTGTGGGAGTCAAAAATTTCCTCATGCGTTTCTAAATGCAAATCAGGAGAGAAGAGTTTTATAAATATAGTTATTTTTATCTTAGGTACAAGTTGCATCTTTATAAACTAGTTTACTTGGGAGAAGATGTCGAAGCATGAGGGAAGATTCTGATTAACCAGGTTTCACATTGGTATGATCACATATAAACACTACAAATTAAAATATGTATTTGCTTCTTAGAAATGCAAGATACACTCATCGTATCATGTCTCCATTATGGCTGCAATCACTGAGCAATTTGTCAGCTCAACATGCAGTTAGATAGATAATTCATGTGTGGGTAGTTCTTTACTTTATGACCCGAATACATCACACGATATTTAGAGGATGGCATGAAATAAGGTGGTTGCATGTATGTATCATGCAGTTATGTGAATGTAAAGTCCGTTCCAGGCTGTGGCTCAGTGGGGTGTTTAATAATAAAAGAGTCCAATGAAATTATTAGCAATCATTGCATCAACATTTACACAAGCTAATGATGGAAACAGTCTTAACAGCCACAGTAAGTTAAGAACTATTATCCAGGTCTTGTCTCATTAAACTCACACTCTTATCATCTCAGAGCAGAAACGGGCCCGTTGCCAGTTTTTCCGTCCTCGTGTAGGCTTCATCGTATTTCTGTGGAGTCTGCAGGAACAGGCAGGCTGCTGTGTTTGTATTGATCTGCAATGTGACTCCTTTCCTCTGCCGATAATTCAATACCCCACATATCTCCGCACTGACAGAGCAGGCAAACGGAGAGCAGACAGCCAGACACTGTAAGCTGTTAATGGACTCATTATCACTGCCTCATGCCCCGACAAATAGTTGTGGTTGTGTGTGTGTGTGTGTGTGTGTGTGTGTGTGTGTTTGACTCATCAAAGTGTTGTTGAGTCAGAGCTGGCTGTCTGTCGTCAGTGCACTCATCCTGCCTGGAATATTGAGTTTCCTCTTGAAGCGTGCTCGTACTGTTTGTTGTGTTACTTTACTCACAAACCAAATAAAAAAGATTCTTTCTATTCTTTTTCGCTCTTTAATCTAATTTTCTCTCAGTTTCTGACGTTGACAACATCAGTAAGTTTTTTGGTTTTTAGCTAGAAACCCTCCAGCTGTGCAGAGCTCACTTACTTTAAGTAATGTGCGCTCTATTCAGGTTTTTGATTCTCTGACACAGTTTGTGTTTTCTTTTGCAGTTCGTGCGTCCAGATTTGATACCAAGGGTTAATGTGCATTTGATGTTTTGGCACTTAAACTGAGGCATACTGCTATACCTCTTAAAGAGCAAGAGATGCACATTGGGCTCACACACACTGTGATAAAAACAGTTAGAATGCTTGAACAGGTGGGTTTAGAGATGGGATGTGAGGGATGTTATGCGCTCAGACTGTCTGATGTATTGGGGTAGGAAGTTCCAGAGCCTGGGGGCAGTGCAGCTAAAAGCCCTGGCACCCATGGTGCTGAGGCGTGAGGTGGGGATGGTCAGGAGACCAGCAGAGGAAGAGCGCAGGGAGTGGAAGGGGGGTGGGGACTCCTGAAGAAGGTCAAAGAGATAGGTGGGAGCTAGGTTGTGGAGGCCTTTGAAGGTGAGCAGAGGAGTCACCAGTCAACTTGCATGTCTTTGGACTGTGGGAGGAAGCTGGAGCACCCGGAGAAAACCCACGCTGACACGGGGAGAACATGCAAACTCCACACAGAAGGGCTCCCCCACTGTACAACCATGTCGCCTTATACAATTTTATTCATCTTTATGTATTATTTTATCTCATACGTAATTACACAGTTATCGCCAAGCAAACTACCCAACAGGCACCAGACATCTGTATGACATCAGAAATACATTGGATTCTTACATTGGACAGACAGACGTCCTGTCGACATTAACATTATAGCATTTTCAAGATGTTGGGATTTTGTTCTTCATACCTTATGATTGAATATTGTTATTCTAGTTGACGTTAGCGTAAGATGTTTGAGAGACGTTGGATTTGAGTTACTTAACGACACAACTTTAACTCCAACTAAATATCATCATCTAAAAACGTTGGAGCTGGGTCAATGAACATTAATGTCTCAGCTCTGGATGAGTTTCATTTTGCATGAGCCATGAGTAGATGCACGCTTCCTTCTGGGCGGTGATAAGGTTGGCAGGTGTAGTTTGGTGGAAAGAAAATAGTTCCTAAATGAAACTGCTCACAACAAGGTCTGTGGATTATCTTGAGTAACCAGGTAGTGATTTCCGGAAAGAGACATTGCTGTCATGATGTCCATCCATCTCCGTTTCATATTGGCAAACCTGAAAATTAGAAGACACATGGCACGACAAGCATGCATCTAAAGCTAGCTCACCTAGCACCACAGAGCTCACTAATGTTAGAGCTAAGCCGAGGAAGACGCTATTAACGTTTATAACACGAGCTGTCACAAGCATGAGCTTCTCATCCATGAGTTAGTCTGAGTGGGCGGAAGTTCGCTGCATAGATCAGCCTCTCATTGAGAGGAACGAGCCACCCGCTGAAGTCCCGCCCTACCACCTCCGGCTGTGTAGCAGTTTTCAACCGTTTTCAACACGTCCTTTACTAACTTTTGCGGTGTTTGATCTTGCGGGGATGTAGCCATTTTTCTGCCATGGTTCGCGTCCTGTAGGCGATATTTTTGTGGGCGTGTTACACCAAAACCTGTTTCACCCCGGCAATATTTTTGCAAGCACACCGTTGCTGTGGCACCACCCAGAACGATTGTGATTGGTTGAAAGAAATACAAGCAGCTGGGGCGTTTTTTTTTCCAATCTCAAAGTGAGAGTGGGCCCTTGAGAAAGGTCTAGAGATTGTGGTTAGTTAGTGAGACTATCCATGAGTAGATGCACCTTTCCTTCTGCGCAGCGATAGTTCCAACATGAAACTGCTCACAACAAGGTCTGTGGATTATCTTGAGTAACCAGGTCATGATTTCTGGAAAGAGACATTGATGTTGAGTTTTCCAATTGACGTTGAGTTTTTCAAATGTATTTTTTTGGCGCTTTGATCACCACAAGCTGAGTGCCATCTAGTTCCATTATATTGGAGAGAAAGCAGACATCTCTAAGGCCGATATCTCCAACACTCGGCAACTCACACCAAAACAACCTAGACTGATAAACAGCACTACAGGTAAGAGGAAAAAGAAATTGTATTTTTAATTTGGGGTGAACTTTCCCTTTAATATGTTCTCCTGCACCAGCTTTTGATTTTCTTTCTGTTTTGCAGTAGCTTAGCCCCCGCGGCGTGTAGCACAGTGGAACCAATTATACCTGAAAACAAATGAAATATATAATAAAAAATGAATGGGACGCAGATCTAAATCAAATATATTCAGAAACTATATGATAAAATGAGGCATTTTTGAAAAATCTCTTCACTCAATTTTAATTTTAAAAGACAAAGTCCAACAAAACAGAAAAGCCAGACGCAGGTCAGGTGGCCCCTTCAAGGACAGACAAAGCTGCAGGAACACCGTAATGGCATTAAATTAGAGGAGTGCAGGAAAACGACAGATGCTTGGCCCAGAGCATGACATTAAATCTGTCTTTTAAAATGTCCTGCCTTTAATTCATTTTCTTTTCATATCAATAAAAAAAACTGTAAAATTTAATTCATGGCAAATAAAAAAAGGAAAGTTGGGTGTGATTTTATGAGCTTCCTAACAGGGTCCCTTGGTGAGTGTGGGCCCGGGGTCAGCTGGCCCATAAAACCCTCTATTGGTAGATACCCGTGACCTCTGACCTCTCTGTTAGGAAGGCTGAATAAAAATGTCATTTCCATTATCATTAACAACCCTTCAAACTCAAGCTAGCGCATTCTGAGCTGCGTCTTTGCAATTGGGACTCAATTTCTTGAGGACATCTTCTTCTCTGACACACATATATGTAACCCTCACATCCCTACGTGTCTCTGTACTCAGTTTGACTCTAATTGGATTAAGACGACACAGACAAACACGGTGGCAGTGTCAGCCGAGAGCCTCCGTGCGCGTGTTGACGTCCCAGCTCCTCGCACTGTACCCTGCCAAGAGGGGGGGAAAAGATGAAACAAGGAAGAAATAAGCAAGGAGGTGGTGGCGAGGGAGAGGAGGGCAAGGGAGAGAAAAGGGGGCTGAAAAGGGAAAGAGACGGAGAGGAGGGAGATTAAAGAGAGTGGAGAAAAGGAAAGATGGAGGAGAATGTGAGTGATGAGGGAGATGTGGGAAGGATGCTGTAGAGTGATGGAGACACAGATGGGCGGGAAATAAAATAAATAATTAAAAAGGAAAGAAGACTGAAAGTGAGAATGTAGGAGTGATGATGGGAAAACAGAGCTGCACTGATGAAACAAGTGAAGATGAGGTTACTTTAATTAGATGTTTAAGTTGATAAATCAGAGCGAAAAGGTGACATCACTGTCCCTGTCCTCTCGTCTTCTTCACAGCGTAGAACATTCAGCCTTATGGATTCGAGTTCATCCATTATTAACCATCTGGAGAGGCTCTCTGTGTATACGGTCACAGACTGACCACCGCTCACACAACAGATGGGTACACTGAGGAGGGCGATGCCGGACAGGATTATACCCTCAAGCATCAACACACTCACACACACACACACCTCAGATGACAGCATGTGTCTGCTGAGGTGAAAATAAGTGGGACACTCTCCTCTTGTGATTCCCAAAAGTCATTTTCACAGCGATTTAATGGCTTCAGATTCGTGTTTATTACAACTTGGGTTTATTTTGCTGTTGGTTAGGATTTTTCTCGTGGCAAGGACGGCACATATGCAGTTTACCATAATGATGCTTGAAATTCTGAGTAAATTGTAGGGCCATACAGAGTAGTTTGAAGCTTTGAGGCTTCAGCTATAACGTTGAATTCTAAATCAACGAAATATGTATGTCCATGTAAGCAGTGTTGTCTGCAATGTCTTGATATGAAGAGGCCCAGACCATGGATACCTTTGGAGGCGATCTCTGTTTATTCCCGACAACTCTGACAGCAAGAGGTAAAAACAAAATCCTCCGTCAAATACGACCATATAACTCGAGCCCCTAAGTGACACAGGAATATGTTAGCATATTATACAATAAGTTTAGGCTGAAAAATGAACTTATAAACAGCTTAACAGCACTAAAACATGGAAATGACTATGAGAGCAATGTCACTTACCTCTCCCATGGAGAACACCAACAAAAAGGGAGAGGTAAGGTGTTAGACTTCATAGGTGGGGTACCCCCAAAGGTGAATGTAGGGGTACAGAACCTGATGTTCCACACATTGACTATGGCCAATATATTGACTAGCTTTATGCTTTCTGATGATCCAATGTAGGATATCCATTAAGGGGCAATAAAGGAGGGGATTTGGTGAAGGATGTCTATGTAGGGATGGAGAAAAAGGTATGTATTTCAGAGAAGTGCAGATTCCTTATGCATTGCTGGGGGACACTTTGACACTCTGAACGAGGACGGGAGCCGAACAAAGTTTTTTACATCTGAAAACGATTTCAACGGAGCAGAACAACTTTGCAGTGACCATGGACTGAATCGAACCCGAGCAGGAGGAGATGGGACAAACGAGAGTGCTTGAACTCATACTGTTCGCACTCAGTCCCCCACGAGAGTGCTGTTATCGATTTCCGCGATTTTTGGACTCCTTGCATTATACTTCCAGCCTTGTTCCTCAGAATCCAAGGCGTTCCCAGGCCAGATGAGATATGTAATCCCTCCAGTGTGTTCTGGGTCTGCCCCGGGGCCTCCTACCAGTGGGACGTGCCAAGAACACCTCCAACAGGAGGCGCCCAGGAGGATCCTGATCAAACGTCTGAGAGTTCTACTCTCATAAAAATGACCCCTCCAACCTCTAACGTGTTGAGAAATCCATAACATCAATTGCTGTGTAATTAAAATTGCTTAACTCAGATTGGAGGAGAGGTTCTGCAAACAGCCACTGGACTACAGCAGGCTACAGTTGTTTTATTACTAATAGGAATGAAGTAAAGAAACTACACCAGCAAGACCCAGGTTACAAGTGGATTTTCCCTTTAACAGAACTCCTCTCACTTTGCCAAAACACACTCTCACCAGCAGCAGTTTAATTTTCTGTCTCTGTCTGTCTCTGCAGGTGGCTCACCTACCTGCTGCTCCTCATCCTGGACCTGATCATCTGCCTGCTGGCCTGTCTGGGGCTGGCCAAGCAGTCTCGCTGGCTGCTAACCACGTGAGTCTAATCGGCCTTGTATAACTGAGCTATTTACAGAGACAACAGCTTTTTTTTTATTATTTACAAAGAGAAGAGGCAATCTGCTCTATACTTTTTTATGTGTGATTTTTCCTAAAGGCAGAGAGTGAGGAGGCACGAGCAGGATAGATGAGAGGAAGAGTGGATTGGGAGATTAGCTGACTGAGTAAATCACAACTAACCGGGAGACATTTATTTAGTTTAAGTCACATTTGTGCTGCAGCAGCTGCTACAGACTCCATTTATCCAGATGTTACAACATGATGCTCACTCCTTCAAACTAAACACTACAATATTCCTTATCGATTGTTTTCCCTAACACCAGACTTCTTCCAGTTCCTCTGAGATACTTATGCAAGTATAAAGACAAACTACATCTAAGAGTTTGAAAGCTTCAAACTGCAGTTTCTACCAACACTGCTGCAGTTAAACACCCTCTCATCCACATCTTTGTTACCCTGATGAAAATCATTTCATTTACGGCTGCAAAATAATCCATGCTGTACTTTATATTCATCTTTTGTACCGAACAGTAACGGCAGATATTTTAACAAAGAACGAGATGAATTAGTATGAGTTGGTGTAGACAGAGGGAGCTGGAGGCAGGCGCTGCTTCTCTTCTCATGGGAAATTGCCTGTGAACGAGGCAGCAGAGTATTGGATCATGTCCTTGTACAAACACTGCCCTGCGAGCCCTGTTGTATTTCAACATTTGCCTTTCAGCGTTGCCAGCGGTGGGTTGAACTTGCTCGGAGTGTTGCCGTGTCAATAGCTTTGCTGTACAAATTGGATTTGAGTGCTGCGGAGAGATGGGAGCGGAGCCATTTGATGTTATCAGCAATATAACTTCCTGATGAATGTTATTCCATTTTAACACTTGACCTGCTTTGAATGGCTTCAGACATGAATTACAGCCGATAACAGACGCAGCGTTCGGTTTCTCCGGACCCTTGTACAGGATGTCACATCAATTATTTAACTTTGTATTTTTAGACTTTTTTTTTCCAGATTAATATTTTATCGATTTTTTTTTTTTACCTTTTATGAGTGACAAGAAAACAAGATAAATAAATAAAAAGCACCTGCAGCGTATGTTTACCTCTCAAACAAAAGAATAATGTTTTTATTAATAATTGTTATTTGCTTTTGTTTGTATTTTTTATTAAAAAAAATCATTTTTTTTTCTATTAATAATATTTTTCTTTTTGTTTTATTATTATTAAAACCACTACTTCCAATAATAATAAAAACAATTATAATAATTACTATATTATACTATAAAGCATTCTAATAGTTATAATACAATATCTATTATATAATATTATGTTTTAT